CCCCCCCCGCGGGAGGGTGCCCCCGTGTGCTGGTTGCTGAGGTGGACGCAGAAATGGCACATGCGCGGAATTCTTGGATGGAGGCATCATTGATTTCGGCGGGGGGACAAGAGTCCCAACCTCTTCCATGCCCGAGATCTCCCAAATTACGCATTCTCAACTCAGACCAAAACTAAGCCCGACATTACCGACGCAGTCACAACCAATTTCCTGGCAGCCAACCGCAACCCGCATTCCAAACCCCTCCCAATACATCCGCTGAGGAACAAACAAATGAAAGAATATATTACGCCTTGTGGTATTATTCAGAACGACCAGTATATACGAAAAGGAAACAAAAGGAAAAAAACAAACGGAAAGAAAAAACAAAGAATAACCCATATAAACCACCCCACCAACATCCCACATTAATTAATCAATCCCACATCACCGACCCCTCTTCCCATCCCACAAATCCTTCTCCCCACCATCCAATTCCGCCTCACTCTCATTCACCTGCGTGTAAGGCAGTTCCTCCTTCGGCCGCGGTCTGTCGGGTAGACCGTATAGATGTGTGGCTGATAGAGGAAAAGGACGATTATTTGTCGGGGAAAGGTAATTTTGTATCTCAAGGGAAGCTAAGAATCACATACCATATAGAACGACCGCACTCCCCAAAGTAAACGGAATCGTCACGACGAAACCAAAGATGAAGATGGAAGCAATGGAAGAAAGAATGATGGATATAGAGGTTGCGAAGCCTTTTAGAATGTTGTCTGCGTACCTGTTTCACAATATTTCATAAGCGCATGTCTCACCCCAAACCCACCAGCCATCCCAAAACACATAAATCCACCAAAATTAATGTCAACACTCACTTGACGACCATAGCAACAATCAACCCGCCAATAGCCTGACACGAGATAGCGGCCCACGTCCACGCATTGTAACCGTGGAAGAACCCCTTTTCGCGGACGGTGGCGCCGTCCATGATCATGACTCCGAAGAGGAATCCGGGGATGACGCTGAAGATGGAGAGTTGGACGTTGCGGAGGAAGAGGGAGGTTTTGGAGCCTTTGAGGACTTTTTCGAACCTGCGGGAATTGAGATGTGGGGCGATCAGTTAATCGAGCAGGTTGCAACGCAAGAGGTAAGGCCACAGCAGGACAATGCCAACTCGAAAACCGCCCCCACGAAAGTACTCACCAAACACCCGCCAACCCACTCAAAACACACGCCACCGTCACAGCAACCAACCCCAAAAACGTCTCCCCACCCCCTCTCTCCGCGTCCCCATCCTTCTTCCCCCCTTTACTAGGATCATACGTAACCAACGCAATCCCCACCGTCAAAAGCACCAAACTCCCCCACTTCAACCGCGTCAACTGCCTCCCCAACATCCACACACTAAACAGCGCCGTCGTCAAAATCTTCATCTGGTACGTAACCTGGAACGTCGCGGCATCCAAATAATTCGACGCGAGGTACTGCAAGTTATTTTGGATGAAGTACAGCACGGCGGGTACGGTCATTTTCAGCCAGTCGGAGTTTGGACCGAATATGTCTGTGTAGAGGTTGCCGAGGGAGTATCGCGCGGAGCCGGGTTTCTGGAGTTCTTCGCGGATGTGGATGAAGAGGCATGTGAGGAGTTTTATGCATTCGGAAGTGACGACGGCGGTTGAGGCGAGGTATTTTCCGTCGGGGGAGACGCCGTTTTTTTGGGAGTAGCGGAGGACGAGGGCTAGGGCGGAGTTTTGGATTACGAGGGTGAAGAGGGAGACGTATTTCAGGGGGAAGCCGAAGAGGGTTAGGTTTGAGGGGTCGCCGTCTGCTTTTTGGGAGTTTTGTGGGGGCAGATAGTTTCAGTCATGTTGCACCGTCCTGCTTGAGACAGAAAGTGTTAAGAACTCACCACCCATTTTGGCTGTGGTTGGGCAAGAAGAAGCGTAGGAAAGGTTGAAGTGTATAAAGCCTGAAGAAGTATATGCGTGTCAAACATGCGTGTCGTCTGATTTCTCGAACTTCCTGCAGTGCACTGACCTTTTCAAACGCAGAGTTCAAGTGCAGTAGCGAGCTGGCACGTCAACAGCCTCTGACACGTTCACCTGAGAGAGTTCCTATGTACTGCACGCTACGATGAGCACCCTGACGGACGTCCTCGCCGTAGGGAATATGGCAAGCAAGGATAACCTGTTTCTGCCCCGAAACAACGCTCGGATACTATCGCGAGCGGTGTAAGCGTGGGTAGGCAAGTGTGCAGGTAAATATTTGATGATTTTTGCCAACCCCAAAACGAGATTTGAAGATTGCAAGTTGCGAGTTGGGCCCTGAAGGCCACAAATCGTCGCCCGCACATTGTGGCGCAAGTGAGTGGACTACCAAATGAAGGCAAATGAAATGGGGAGCAGTTGCCGCCAATGTGGCGCATGGCACGTGTTGATGATCAAATCATGATCAACACGACGCGTTTCAGCCAACTTCATACCCCAACAACCCGGCCTGATAGTATACTGGTTTATTACTGCATACACTCCAAAGTGGAACATATTCGGCGCTTGCGTCGGACGTGCAATCCCCGGTTCAACTCCGGGTCAGGCCACTTCCCAATGTTGGGCGGTTAATATTTTTTTCTTTTTGGTACTTTATTACGGTGCACTACTTGCACTAAAAATATCGTGGGAAAGGCCAGCCACATCCCTCGGAAATCGAGTGCCGTCGGCGGTGGCTGATGCACAATTGACCAAGACTGACGGTTATATGAAAGAATGGGCCTGGTGATGGTCTCATTCATTATATTCTCAGGTGACCATAGCTCATGGTTGAGTGTGTCGGGCTTCCGCGTTAATGAGTACAGACCGTCCCCGATGCATGAACTCCAGTAGCTGTTGCAAAGCCCCTACACAGGACCGATGGTGCCACCGCAAACTTGTATCTAAAGTAGATTCTGTCTCGCATACGACAGCAAGCGAACACCATCAATGAGCACCAACTTGTCACCAAGACACCAATTTCATGGCCTATCGGCTACAGAAGTTACAGAGGGATATTTTATATCATACACCTTTCCACAAAAAGGAAAATCTAAGCATTATGTACAAAATCGATCAATCTAGGTTTTTTATACATGATACCAAAGAATGGCAAAAACTCATATACACTTCAATTCCAAAAGAAGACCACTTGCGCGAACCACCCCGCCTTGTCAAAACAAAAAAACTCTGACCCCCGATCATCCATCACCTATTCCAAGCCTACCAGCACGAAAGAATTGGGGGTTCAGAGAAACATCCCACAAACCCCAGTTTCGCAACAAACGAGAAACCAAATACTCACGTCCCCCCACTCAGCATATTCAACCGTTCATCAAACGCCGCATCAGCTCGTTCAAGCTCGGCTTCCAACTGCCACAATATGCATATTAGCTCCACGACCGTACGTCCCTTTTTCCCAAACCGAAAGTTCACTCTCACCTGTCGCTCAACCACCTCCTTATCCCTCCTCAGCGCCTCAATCTCCTGCTGCTGTCGCTCCAACGCTCTATGATGCTGTCGTCGCTGTTCCTCCATCTAATTTGCCAATGCAAAAGAACAACCACGTTCAGGGATAAATATGTCGTCGAAAAATACGTCGTGACAAACCTTCTCATGTAATCTCCTGATTTCCGCCTGCATCCTTTGTCTGAGTTCTTCCATCTGCGAACATGTCCGTCGCGCTTAGTAATGTCGATGGGAAGCAATTCGCATGCGAAAAGAGTCGAATACCCTACCTCCTGCTGATGCCGTAGCTCCGCAGAGAGAGCCTGTTGTCGTATGTCCGCTATCTATATCCCATCAAATTTGACACGCATCAATACGATCGTTCTCCCACTGACACTTGACCCACGCCTGGGCAAAGAATGAAACCCCTCATGCACCATACCTCCTCCGCGTGCCACTTTTTCGTCTCCTCCTCCATCCGTTCCTTCTGACTCAATTTAGTCTGTAGTACTTGGACTTTCCGGCTCACGAGTTGGAGGGCGGTGCGTGGGTCTGCGGTTTCGGGGCTGTTGGGGGCGGACATGGTGGGTTGGGAGGTCAATGGACTGTGATGATATGAGAAGAGTCTCTGTCAAACAAATGTTCTATGGCATGCAATCAAGCCGTCTTTGCATATAGATCCCTCTTATGTAACTCCCAATGCCGCCATTTCCATTGCGCTCGACGTCAACTGGATCGCGTCCAACGTGGATGTCCATCAAATGAGCTGGCTATTATGTTAGCCTCTTCAAACCGCCGCCGAAGTACAGTGAACGCGCATTTCTCATCCATTTTAGCACCACACCATCCCCTCATCCCAAACAACTACAAAACTCACATTCCAGAATCCGGACTCGCCTTCCTCTTCCTCGGCTGCTCCACAACCCTCTCATACCCCAACTCCGGATGCTCCTTCGCCAAATGATTCCGATAATACAAATCCCCTCTCGGCGAATTATGACACAGCGTTCCGCAGAGTTTACACTTCAGACGATACGTGCGGGGTTGTAACTGTCCCTGTATTTGGCAGCCGTCGTTGTTGCAGATTGTTTTGAGTTTGTCGGGGGAGAGGTTTTCGGAGAGGCAGGCTTTGCAGACGCGGTGGAAGCGTTCCATTGCTGGGACGCGGGAGGGGGTTGTTGTTGTGGTTGTTGTGGTTGTTGGGGAGGCGGGTTGGTGGTGGGGGTCTTCGAGGGATGGAGGGGTTTGGTGTTGGGTGTGCGAGTGGTGGTCGGGGATTGTGACGGTGTGTTCGAGATCCATTGCGGCGGCCAGGTTGGAGAAGGTTGGGTGGTGGACGGCGTGTTGGGCGTGTTGGGAGTGTTGTAAGTGAGCTTGTTGTTGTGGAGAGGCCATTGTGCTTATTGCGGAGGGGTGACTTGCGACTAGTTGCACGCCTTGGCCTAGGGCCTGTTGTTGGTGTTGGTGTTGGTGTTGGGAGGCTGCTGCTGCCATTGCCAGCCTCTCACTTGCAGTCGCGAACATGAGAGACATGACTGCAGGGTGACCCGCTAAGGGGTATGCAGTGCCAGACTGCGACGTAGGAATTGTTGCTTTATGTACTTGGGGTGATGGTTGCGACTACCTATGATAGTTGAGCTGTCAATTCACCCTACCGAAATGGAAGTGCCAAAACTTGGAGAATGCGTGGAGAGTGAAGCGTGTGTGGGGTGGCGGGCGGTGTGACCGGTGTCACTGAACTGGCAACTTGGGAATTAACCGGCTCATTGTGGCCAATCCAACGGCTCGGGTCGTCCGAAACATCCCACGTTTCCCAACGAGCACAACAAGTCTTTCCTCCAAATTTGTTCACACCGTTGTTGTAAATTTACAAAAATTATATCGAATAAGATCACTTTCCTCCCACTAACTACTCTACCTGGAGGCAAGGAGCTAATCGAAGACGCGCTATTAGGTATGTAACCGTCCAGCGTTGTCAATTTCTATTTCCATTCTGACACATCTTAGCCAAGCAATCTTCCAAACGCCACCACACCAACCTGTCAAAAAATATGTCACAACCGACCGTCCCTTCTTCCCAAACCCTCATCATCCTCCCTCTCCCCCTCGAACTCTGCCACATGTCTGCAAGGATGCATCTCAAGGCTGCCAAAGGGCTCCGTTCAACTTGCAAGGCATTCCGTGCATTGATCTCCGTCAAGGACATTATATGGGCAGAAGCAGGCCGAAAACTGAAGGTCCACTGGTACCGATCCTTCTTCCATGTCGATGACCCGTTCCAAAACTGCTTCAGATGGGCCACCGTCCACGGTCACGCCGAAGTCCTCCGCAGTCTCATCCCCAGCTTGCCCCCCTCCACCCGGCAAAACCGCCTAAACCTCCTTCTGATGGATTTGGCCGAGAAGGGACACATCGAAGCAGTGAACGTGGCTTTAGACATGGGAGCTGATGCAACCTTCACCGATGATGACGGCGATTGTGCATTGAACTGTGCTGCCCGTGTCGGTCCGGTTGAAATCGTGCAAGCGCTTCTGAAAGCGGGTGCAAAGCAACACATGATCAATCTTGCCGATCACCAATTGAAACACTACGAGCGAGGGCCCTTATATATCGCTGCTGGTGCTGATCACCCTGACATAGTGAAGGTGCTTCTGGAAGCTGGAGCTCATGAACATCTGCGCGACGGGGCAACATTGGTGGAAGCATCTTTTTGGGGCTTTTTAGATATCATCGAGTTACTCCTAGCAGCAGGTGCAGATGTCAATGCCGAAGAGTTGGATGAAGATGAGGACGAGCCGAGCCTACCCATATGCGAAGCTGCCGGCGAAGGTCACCTAGAAGCCGTTAAACTCCTCCTCTCCGCCGGTGCATCAATAGACTCCCCAGACCCATCCCGCTACCCTGGTCTCCTCATCCGTGCGGCCGAAATGGGCCACCTGGAAGTGGTCAATCATCTGCTTGAACTCGGGGCAGATGTCCATGCACGTGGCAATGAGGCACTGCTAAACGCCACGACCGAGGGGTATGTAGAGGTAGTTAGGGCTCTCGTAGCGGCAGGAGTGGATGTCAATGCCCAGGATACTGATGATAACGGACATCCGAATGGACGCACGGCCCTGATTGAGGCAGTGGAGGCCGGTCATATAGCAGTGATAGAAGCTCTTTTGGAATTGGGTGCGGATGTACATTTTGGTGGGGACTTGGCTCTAAGGTCAGCACTTCGGTGCCGATATGGATATACTAGGGACGACGAACAGCTGCAAGTCATACAAATCTTGATGGGTGCATTGCCGGATCCTAAACTGCTCCGACCTACGTGGGATTACATTCCCTACAACAATCACCACCTCACGGAAGCACTGTTGCGCGGCGGGGCAGCATACGACTTGGAGGATCTCTCATTTTGGAAGGTGGCGGGACTAGGCGGCATCCCGAAAGGCGTCGTCCAACACTGGCACCGCGGCACCCGCTTCATCGGCTCCCTCGAATTCATCGAAGACCACACCGCCCTAGTCCGCGCCGTTGTTGAACCCCACCACACCGAACTGCTTAAAGTCCTCCTCTCTGCCGGTCTTGACATATCCGGCGAAACTGGCGAAGAAGCCCTCTGGGAAGCCTGTCGTCGCAACCGCCCGGAGGCCGTCAAACTCTTACTGGACGCGGGCGCAGATATGAACGCTGGAAACCCGGAATGGGATATGGAAGGGAAAGCGTTCCGTGTTGCTATTGATAATCGGAATATAGATATTGTCAAGATGTTTATGGAGAGGGGTGTGAATCGGTATGGGCGATAGGATAGGTTTTTGTTTGGGAGTATGGAGGTTGTGGCGGGGGACGAGAGTGAGAGTTCGGAGGAGGAGGAGGAGGAGGATGAAGACTTGACAGAGGAGGAATTGATGGAGCGGATTGAGAGGAAGAATCAGGAGGAGGAGAGGAAGATGGAGGAAGGACGGAGGAAACAGGAGGAAGAGGAGAGGAGGGAGCAGTGGAAGAAGGAGTTGTTGAAGGTTATTGAGGCGACACCCTTTTCACAGTTGGGGTTACTGCAGTCAATTGATGGGGGGGAGGGTGCGAGTGCGAATATGGGGATGTGGGAATTGGAGAAAAGGGATTTCAACGTACC